AGTTGGAGCCTCATTGTTGGAGTTGCTCAAGGTATTCATAGCATGGAGTTTAACAATGTGGACTCTGGATTCAGACTTCTAGATTAGAATTCTGCCTCTAGGACTCACTAACGAGTTATTTAACACCTTTGTGCTATAGTTTCCTCATATGTGAAATGGAGATAAAAATTGAAACTATCTTGATGTGCATTAATGTTTATAAAGCACATAAAATGTTACCTGGTACATAGTAAGTACTTAATAAGTCTTAGTTATTGTTGTTAGCTGCTCACATTTGGGGGACCCTAAGGTCAGATTATTCATATTCAATTTAACACACATGTATGTATAAAGTGTCTATATTGTGAAAGGTAGGTATACAATGATGAGAAAGATACAATTCCTGTTTTCAGGAAACTGATTGGCAACTAATGAACTGTTTAAGAACTCCATTCTTAAAAGGGAAGCAAGGATCACTACCCTTTACAGGCAATAGACATTTTGGTTTGTTGATTTTTATCTTCTTGGTAGAGAGGAAAAAACAGGCATGGAATCCGATAAACCTGGATTTGAATCCCTGCTTTTATGTATCATCACCTATGTGACTTTGTACAAATCAATTAGCCTTTCTAAGCCTCAGTTTCCTTATTTGTAAAATGAGGAGACGATATTAATAACTACTAAATAGGACTAATAATACCTACCTGTATGGTGGTTGTGAAGATTAAATGAGTTAAGGCACAGTGCTAAGCATAAATGAAGTGCTCAAAAACTATAGCTTAAAAATAACTATCCAGTTTATTGTGATTCCTCTAAAAGTATAGCCCTCAAAGGAGAAAGACCATCTCGGATTTCCTGGAGTTATCTATTATGCCAATCCACTACCAGTCTTAGTGAGAATAAGCAGTATCCATAGAAACAGAAGAGGCAAATTGAAGCATGAGTGAAAGCAAGCACCTCACCAATTTAGGTGGGGTAAAATAATAAACCTCACACCCTCATGCTTACCCTCAGGTCAGCACGTAGGTAGTGTGTTTTGCAAACCTGGGACCAGAACAGGCTGCCCTTCAGCTCTAGAGAACTCTCCACACCCAACCAGATACACAGACACACCTCAGCCTCTGGCAGAAGCTTCCAATAAGTAGCTTTCATAAAGTGGAAACCTTTCAAGGGCTCTATATTTATTGCATCTCCTTACCAGACTCTCCTCTCTCTATTCACGCCTGGGCATTAACATAGTTCCTATCACTCCATTCTGATGACTGCAGGCATGAACATCATGAAGTCAGTTCTGTAATGATGATCTTAAGATCCTAAGCCATTCCAGGCCATGATTACAGGTTCCTAATCCACAAAGTCAGCAGGGAATGGATCAGTTTACCCAACAGGATGAAAGACTGTTTTCTTCACTAGTAGTCAAAAAGGCAAATATAAGCCCTGGCTAGCAGGTAGAAGGGAAAATCTATGGATATTCACTGAATAGGTATCCCTGTCATTTATACCATAATACTAAAAAGAGGTCTCCAGACACACTTATAAAGGGATATTGAGCTTTCACTTTTCTGATGCACTGAATACCTAGAGCTTTCCTATCTATGCAATTTTCTTTTTTCTATGTGTATTTTCTTCTCTAGGCCTACACATGTGACTTTATAATTTATTAAAAAAAAAAAAAGAAGAAGGAGAAGGAGAGGAGGAGGAAGAAGAAAAGCCAAGCTAAAAATAACCTCCGGGGCTTCCCTGGGGGCGCAGTGGTTGAGAGTCCACCTGCCGATGCAGGGGACACGGGTTCGTGCCCCGGTCCGGGAGGATCCCAGGTGCAGCGGAGCGGCTGGGCCCGTGAGCCATGGCCGCGGGGCCTGCGCGTCCGGAGCCTGTTGCTCCGCAACGGGAGAGGCCACAACAGTGAGAGGCCCGCGTACCGCAAAAAATAAATAAATAAATAATTTAAAAATTAAAAAAAAAAAAGAAGAAGGAGAAGGAGAGGAGGAGGAAGAAGAAAAGCCAAGCTAAAAATACCCTCCGGGGCTTCCCGGGGGGCGCAGTGGTTGAGAGTCCCCCTGCCGATGCAGGGGACACGGGTTCGTGCCCCGGTCCGGGAGGATCCCAGGTGCAGCGGAGCGGCTGGGCCCGTGAGCCATGGCCGCGGGGCCTGCGCGTCCGGAGCCTGTTGCTCCGCAACGGGAGAGGCCACAACAGTGAGAGGCCCGCGTACCGCAAAAAATAAATAAATAAATAATTTAAAAATTAAAAAAAAAAAAAAAACAACCCTCTGTAGGTATTTAAAATTTCAAATCAGAAAATATTTTATTAAATTAACCTATAAGGGGTGATTTTCAGTGGTCATTATATTGAGGGTGAATGCTTCAAAACAGCAACAGCATGCCTCTAAAAGAGACCAAACTGTAATGGGCAGGGTTATTCTCAACTAAAGACAAATGCATTTCAGCAGAGTTGTATGGTCTGAGGAACCATGAGGAAGCCAATGAGTAGTATGACCCTGCTTAGAGCAGTATGAACGTCCAGATGGTGAATGGGACAGGGAGTTAAGGCACTTAAATATGCAACAGAACCTGAAGGAGGTTCAATAATCCAGGGTTCAATAATTAGATAAGTGGTTGGACATTGAAGGTTTTACAACCGACCTGAAATCTTGATTCTGTTTATAGATTCATTATCAACATTGCCACTGAATTAGTGGCTGAAAAAAGCCACTTTTGGAGGGACCACCAACTTCTACTCACCAAAGCACTGGTATATTAAATATGTCAAGCCTTTGAGGCATATAATTTAAATATGTTAAGACTTTGACGCAAACATCCAAGGAAGTGAACAACAGACTAGGCTTTTCAAATATTTCATAGATTCATTAGTACTGAGTAAATAAGATAAAATACATAAAATCCTTAGCAAAAGTCTAGGCATTGTTAGACACTGATATTATTATTCATTGGATGCAAAATTATCTGTGATATAACAATGCCATATATATATATATATATATATATATATATATATATACACCTTTCAAAACCACACAGCCCTTAAACCTGTTGAAAAGATGCTCAACTTCAGAAAAGAAATGCACATTTGTCACTTAACAGGTTGAAAAAATCTGATGGTTTGAGTTTGATATACTTTGTTGGAAAGACTACAGGGAAACAGGCATACTCTTACATTGCTAGTGCAGTGTAAAATGGTACAACCCCTGTGAAAGACGATTTGGCAATATCTATCAATATTTAAAATGCATATGTCCCTGACCCACCCATTTCACTTTGTGGAATTTATCCTTGCAGATATACTAGCAATGGCACAAAATTATAGGTTATTCAGTGGGGTATTTTCAGTAATAGCAAAAGGCTAAAAACAACATGTGTACCAAGAGAGAATTGGTCAAATAAATTATTTAAAATACTATGTAGCTAAACATTTTTTTAAAAGAATGAGAAAGCTCTGACACAGAAATCATTCCGAGATATATTGAATGAAAAAAGTGTATTCTCCCTTATATACATAATAAACTAAACTCTAGAAGGATACACAGGAAACCAGTAATAGTGGTTACTAGTGGGGGGCTGAGGATGGACGGACACTGGCAGATGGGGGAAAAGGGGCTGGAAGAGACTTTTCATTATAAACTTCTTTATGTTTTTTAATCTAGTTTCCATATTACTAATTCAAAAATTTAAACTAGAATTGTTTTTCATTAAAAAATGTGTATAGTACATCCATACAATTGAATATTATTCAGTGATAAAAAGAAATGAACTATCAAGCCAGGAAAAGACATGGAGGGACCTTAAACGCATATTGCTCAGTGAAAAAAGCCAGTCTGAAAAGGTTACTTACTCTATGACTCCAACTATATGACATACTGGAAATGTAAAACTTTAGAGACAGTAAAAAGATCAATGGTTGCCAGTGGTTGGGGGACAGAGGAAAGGATGAATAGACAGAACACAGAGGATTTTCAGGGCAGTGACACTATTCTGCATAATACTATAATGGTTGATAAATGACATCACGCATTTGTCAAAACCCATAAAACTGTACAACACAAAGAGTGAACCCTAATGTAAACTGTGGATTTGGGTTAATAATAATGTATCAATATTGGTTCATCAATTGTAATGAATGTACTATATTAATGTCACATGTTAATAATGGGAAGCTCAGAGTGAGAGAGAGAGGGAGTATATGGGAACACTCTATAATATCTGCTCAACTTTCTGTAAACTTAAAATTGCTCTAAAAAATAAAGTCTATTAATTTTTTAAAACGTGTGCATACATGTATATATATACATGTATATACATACATACACACAACATACATATATCCTTTTTTCATCCAGTAAATGCCTTACACACTGAAGGTGTTACAGTGTGTGTAAAGTATTACAGCCACAGCCTTAATGGTCAAGAGCTCAAGCTCAGGAGTGGGCAAATTAGGTTCTGATCCTAGCCCTACCATTTTATAGCTGTGTGGCCTTATTTGTGCAAGTCACCTCTTCAGCCTCAGTTTCGCTGTCTGCAAAATGGAAGAAAAACAGTCTCCTCCTGGGGCTGTTATGAAGATTCAATAAAGAATGCACGTAAAATGCTTAGCATAGTGCCTAATGTAAAAGAAATGCTCAAAAATGTTAGTTGCCGCTATAACGGTTAAATGATTGTTCACAGAATGACTGATTTGGCACTTCAAGGTTCCAAGGTTACTCCACTGGCAGCATATCAGTAATACCCCCAAAGGCCCCTCAATTCTCAACTCCAACCTAGCCCACTTAGGGCACAATCCACACTGTCTGAGCTCCAGCGGGTACACTTCAGCATTCTTTACTCCCAGATGGTGTTTTCCTCCTCGCTGGGCCTTACAAGTTCAGGCCCTGGACCGCCCCCACCCCACCCCTCCCTAGCCCACCCTACCCGTTCCCACTCAGAGCTCGCCCCGGCCTCCTCCCCAAACCCTGGCCTAATTCGTCTGCACTTCTTTCCTTCCCCGAAGCTGAAGGAAGCGCCTACCCAGATACTCGTAGTCCGGTAGGGCTAGGCGTTCCGGACTCAGCATCCTTTGACCAGGGTAGCTTCAGAGCTCCAGCTCTCCCGCTTCCGGAAGCCAGGTCAAGGGCTCTCTCTGTTGCCATGGCACCCACGCGGCGGGAGGAGAGGCTAGAGGCAGAGGGGGTGTCACGCAAACAGTCTCCGTATTGCAACGCCAAGCTGGCCACACTAGTTCCGGGAGCTGTCTCTTCGCGGCGGTCAGTTTCTTTGGACTTCCTTTCTTGAGGCGTTGGTTTTAGAGGAATTTGAGGTGGAGAGTTCCTTTGAAACCATCATATTTCCCGTGTCGAAAAATTATTGCCAGCCCTCCATATACCCGCAATTTCTGAATTTCATAACTACTCCTGCTTTATACAACTGTTATCCTAAATCACAATAATAGATCCCACCCCTAAATTCCCATAAACATTTACTATCCCATTACCTATTTTTATGTCCTTATTATTTATCATCTTAAATTACTACAAAATGCTTTCACGTGCGTATATCTTGGCTGCTTCTTGAGGTCAGGGATGTGTCTTTTCTGCCTGTGACAAGTCTGGGCATCCAGAAAGTGCTCATTAAATTCTCTATGACTTCATTGACATTTCCTCTCAAATTCCTCTTTATCTTTATAGCCCCTCCTTCTACTTCTATCCTTAACTATTTGGTACCCTTCCCAAGTGTCTTTTCTTTTCTTTTCTTTTCTTTTTTTCTTACAACGACACTTCACTTCTTGGGGGGATGGGATGCACAAACAAGGACACCTATTGGATTTTTTCCCTTATATCCCTAATTGCTCACTTTTCCTTTAAGAGGGGAGAGTGTTCATTGGTTTTCAAGTTCCCAGATATCTGGATATTTCTCTTTTTGCACCTCTCCACCCCCAACAACGGGTTAGTGGTGGGTACCACTTGTCACAGTTCAAACATAGTAGAAAAGGTCACTCTGTCTTCACTTTTTTAGTTAGCTCTCCCCCCACATGAGGTGAGGTTTTTGGAAAGAAAGAAAACAAAAATCATTCTATCAAAGGAATGATTGGGAAACCAGTGGACCACCTACACTGGGAGAAAAAGGAAAGAGGAGGTTCTTCTCTTTGTGTTCTGAGTGGTCTATTCTTAGCCTTCTCCAGTAGAAGCTTCAAACTTCCTAATTCTCCCTTTCCCTTAAAATTGTATATGTGTCTCATTTCTAGGATCTGGTGAGTCACTCTGAGTTTGAATGTGGTAAGGATAAAGGGACAGAGCCGAACTCAGAGCAGCATTTATTATCTTGAGGTAATAAGTTAACTAATTTGGTATTTGATGTGAAGGCCTGCATATCATAAAAAAATATTTGCCTTCTACCTCCACCCTTGCCTCCCACCCCCTCCCCTACCCCATGCACCTTGAGAGTTATGGGAGTTTCATAACTTTCACACCTGTGGCTTTTTACTATATTATTAATAAAGTAATAGGATGGTAATTATTAAGGATTACAATTTCATTTTATTTCCAAGCAACCTGAAGCTATTCTGAGATCATTTCATTTGTCCTCATAAAACTTTCTAATGCACTTCTCCCTTTTCTAAGTAGGGAAACCGAGGAACATGTCAGGAAAATGACTTGTCTAGCATCATCCAGCCAGTCAGTGGGAGAGCTGGAACTGGATCTCAGCGATCTCAACCTCCAGGCTAGTGGTCTGACCGCTAAACCACACAGCCTCTTTTTTTAGGGTTTGTTGGCTTGGGTTTTATTTATTTATTTTTCTTTTTGCTCTGCCCTGCCAGCAACTGGAAGCTCCCAGACAAAAGAGAATTTTGAGTCCAGGCTGAACATTTGACATCCCCTTATTTGTGGGGCATTATCCTGGGACTCGGAGGGTGCTGCTGTTGGGGTCTGTGTGGTGGAGCTGGGAACCAGCCCCAAGAATATAGCTTTGTTTGGGGATTAACCCATTTGTGGTTATAATAATGATAAGTTTCAGCACCAGTGGCGCCCGACTGTTAATGACTCAAAGAAAGCTAAATAAGAACAAGATGTCATCTCTGGAGCAATTTGTAGGTTTTTCCTACAGCTCCATCCCTTCCATAAAAATCCTAAGGGCCCTTATATTTAAGTCAGTCTTCCACTCAATGTCCTAAACAGTCTATTGAGGAGGAAGACTTAGCAAAGGGCAGGTGGTCGCTAAGCTAAGGCTTCAAGAAAATTTGGGGTTGCACAGAAATAGCAGGTAGCCTTTTTAATGGTGGTGGAATTACTGCTTACATTTTTCTTTATACTTTTCCATATTGTTAAATTTTTTCTCTAATAGGCATGCATTATAACCTGGAGACAAACAAACAATAAATGAGTGGCTTAAAAATCTTAAAAAATTTTTTTAGCAGAAGTGATGACATTCCATATAGTGTTTGTTTTTCCCAAGAAGGAGCCATTACTTTTAGATTTCTCTTCTGCCATACATTACGCAAATAAGTTTTGGCAACCGGTCAGTAGTGAAGGAAGTTTTTCAGTGAAACATACACAACATCAGGTCTTAAGAAAAGGGGAAATACACAAGAATTGTTAAAGTCAAGTGTATTTCTGTGACCCTGTTGAATGTAAGAAAAGAAAAACATGTCAGCCTTCAATTTAGATGTGCTTTTCAGGTTCTTAAATTATCATTACATATGTCTGAAATTTTTACCTAAACAAATAATCATCCAGATAGACCAGTAAATCAGAAATCAACTCCACAATCCTGAAAATAAGTAAGTATTATGAAATTGGTCAAAACATAGAGAGTGCTTGAGATGCGACAGTACTACTGCATAAGGAATGGAAACATCAAACTCAAAACAATAGGAAAAATACCCACAAAAGAGGATATGCTGAGACACCAATTTATCAGATTATAATTTCTAATGATAAAGAGCAAATTAATAGACATCTCTGGCTCTGCAGAGGACCTATGAAGAGACTGATAGGGAAGAAAATCCTCCCTGTTATTGAAAACCACAGAAGAGCAAATATAAATGTACCAAATAGTTTTAAACATCAAGGAAACAATAGAAAGAAAAAATGCAGTCTGACTTATTCTTACAAAGCAGGTTCAAGAAACTAGGACAAGCTTTTATCAACTCATCAAAAGCAGAAAGATGCTAAAGGCGAAGTACCTACTAAGAAATGCAGGTCATGAAATTCATGCTGAGCTACTAGGCTCTTCTTCAAAGACTTATCTTCCATAAAAGCAAAGCAAAGAAACTATGTGTGATGCCACTGTATGAGATTTACAGGTTTAGTTTAAAATGCTATTTACAGACAAATCATTTTGGACTGCCACAGGTCGACAGACCAGAGCTTCGGGAGAATTTGCAAGGAAAAATAAATGTTCCCATTTCTTGGGCAGTTAAAGAAAACTAATGCATTTCGAGAAAGTGGTTAAGAGGACATGGCTTAAATTGAACTGGAGGTCAAAGACAATTACAGACTTGTACCTTCTTGTTACTTTATATTTTCAGTGCTGCAAAAAGAGTTGGGAATTACACTTTCATGTAGTGTAAAACAGAGGAGGATTTTCTGATCCTTCTTGGTAGCCCACAAAAATTAGCTGTGCCTTCCTCTGTCCTGGAGCGTGCACAGCGATAACTATTTGTGTCTTTTTCACTGAGGGAATAGTAGGACAACACTACTCATTTAACATATTAGGTAAAATGGAAAAATTCCTTGAAACCCAAACTAACAAGTTTCACTCAAGAATAAACAGATGGGGGGCTTCCCTGGTGGTGCAGTGGTTAAGAATCCGGCTGCCAATGCAGGGGACATGGATTCAAGCCCTGGCCCGGGAAGATCCCACATGACATGGAGCAACTAAGTCCGTGCGCCACAACTACTGAGCCTGTGCTTTAGAGCTCCACAACAAGAGAAACCACCGCAATGAGAAGCCCGCGCACCGCAACAAAGGGTAGCCCCCGCCGCAACTAGAGAAAGCCTGCACTTAGCAACAAAGATCGACCTGAAAAGCTGTATATTTATAAAGAAATGGAATTTTTAGTTAAAAATCTTCCCACAAAAAGAACTCCAATCTTCAAAAATGTGATTTTGTACTTTTATAAACATTTAAATTTATAAACTAAAACAGAAAACATTATCTAATTTTCCTTTGGAATTCTTCATTGACCCATGGGTTATATAGAAGTGTATTATTCAAAATTTCCATATATTTGGGGATTTTCCAAAGGTGTTTCTGGTTTTTTGTTTGTTTCTTTGTTTTTGGTTTTTGTGTGTGTGCAGCTTGTGGGATCTTAGTTCCCTGACCAGGGATTGAACCAGGGTCCTTGGCAGTGAAAATGTGGAGTCATAACCACTGGACCACCAGGGAAGTCCCTGATTTCTAGTTTAATTCCACTGTGGTCAGATATACCTGGAGAAACCTTATATGACTTGAATCTTTTTTGCCTTTATTGAGAATTGTTTTATGATCTGGAATATGGGCTACCTTAGTAAATATGCCTTAGTAAATGTTCCGGGTGCTCTTTGAAAAGAATGTATACCCTATTGTTGGGTGGAGTGTTCTATAAATGTTAATGTACACAGGTTATGCACGTGGATAAGGACTGGAAATGAAATTGAACCAATATTTTTATTTTTTTAATTTAAAAAATTTTTTTTCTTCTTTTTGTGGTACGCGGGCCTCTCACCGCTGTGGCCTCTCCCGTTGCAGAGCACAGGCTCCGGACGCACAGGCTCCGGACGCACAGGCTCAGCGGCCATAGCTCACGGGCCCAGCTGCTCCGCGGCACGTGGGATCCTCCTGGACCGGGGCATGAACCCGCGTCCCCTGCATCGGCAGGCGGACTCTCAACCACTGCGCCACCAGGGAAGCCCCAAACCAATATTTTTAAAAGTAGACTTTAAAAATATTTATGTCATTAAAAAAAAAAAAAAAAATTTGAATTATCCTACTAGATTCTAAGTTCCTGGAGGTCAGAGACAGACTTCATTCATCCTTAAGTTTCTAGAATCATGCACAGTGCCTGACAGAATAAATGCCTGTTAAATAGACTTTTTTCCCCACTTTAGATGAAAAGTTTAGAAAATGAAAGCCATCCAATCCACAGGACTTATGCTTGCCTCACAGGAACCAGTTCATGAAACAAATTTATTAAATAAAAAGGCCAGCAAATGGCAAGGCATCATTGAGAAGGAGATTAAAAATCAATCAGAAAGCATTGGCATCTCCTCCTTACACCTAAATACTA